GTTTGTTGGGAAATGTAAAATCTTTAATTTTAGAACAGCTGATGTAACTGGGAAGACGTAACAGGCTCCTGGGACCACAAGCAAAGCAACAAACTTCAAACTAGACATAGGTAAGAAGCAATGACTAATAACATAACCTAGTTATGTTCATCAGCCGAACTCAAGAGAACTTAAAGGGAAACAGCACTAGAGAAGCCTGAGAGGCGATAGGGAGTCTGTTTAATTATTTGTAGGCACTTATGAAGCCCATGCCTCTCCCCAGTACAACACCCAGCTTTTATTATAATGTATCGGTAAAAAATGAAAGTCTCATTTAAATCCCTAAGGAATTACAAAGCGCTCCTTCTTCTTCCCAATTCCACCAGAGGGAAAGTTGAAAAATAATCCAAATGTCCTGATTTAGCTTGACCTCTACTTCGACAATAGCTGAAGGCAGCAGACATCTTCAGCTGGCTCCGGAGCCTTTCTTCTGCCCAGCGGGAGAGTGCTGCAAGGTACCAACTCCACTGAAACTGCGCTGCATATACAGCGGACAAAATTTCCTTCTTGAACAACGTGACAAGAACTGGTGCATGTGAGGAAGCCACTGGCCTCACGGGAGTTCTGTGCTCGGCGCTGTGCAAACAGCCTGGCAGCTGTGAGACCCTCGGCTGCGCTAGCAGACCCCTACCTAGCACCTGAACGAGCTGCAGTTTACAGCAGTTACTCTTAAACCATTCATAAAATCAGGTAGAAAGTGTAACTAACACGTAACAGGTTGGCACAGTTAGACTAAAGCTGTGAACGTACAAGCAGAACCATAGAAGTTGTTCATTTAATTGAGGACAAGGCAAAAAAAAAAACACCCTCATTTGGAAGCCAAAGCAGCACAGCACTCATCCTTCACCACTTGTCATGGATATAGCGCACTGAACTCCATCAGCATCTCCTCCTCCTCCGTGAGCCTGCGTCCTCACCACACTGCTTTGGTGTGTACCGTCTGTACGACCCAGAGACCAAAAATCAGGCTTGGATTTCCTCCCCCCCCACCAGCTCAGCTTTGAGCCTTTAAGAATTAGAGGCAACATCTGTGCTAGACATCCTAGACTTTTATAGTCAACTGAATGGAGAAGGCACCACCAAAGGATGAGTCAACCAACCTGTTTTAGATGCATATCCTGGGATGAGATGACTCGCCCTCAGGATATTTATGCTACTCTCTTTGAAGCCAAAGTGACCATGTCAGACATCTGCAGCTAAATATTTGACAGTTATGTCAGAGCAGCCAAATGCTAAGGTATTTTCTGAGACGCAGTCACTAGGAAAAGATCAGGAAAAAGCATACAGAAATGAAGTGACTTGCCCAAAATGACACAGCATGGTCAAAGCTGACGTGGTAGGTGGCAGTAAGAAATGGAATCTAGAACATCACAGGATCAATAATGCCTGAGAGAGTCTTTCCCACTGACTTTGGGTCAGGCTCTGAAGTGTTTACAAGGGAATCATCAGACCCGAAACAGTAAGAACAAAGTGGCCACAGAAGCAAGCTGTGAATACGTACAATTCTGCCTCTTTCTCCTATCACGTACATTCAGCTTATAGAAAAGAAACCTAAGCAGTCAAAAAATTATATGGACACTCCACTACTTTCTTCCCTTGTTTTTTTTCCATTACCTTTTGCAACTTTCTCCTATCACGTACATTCAGCTTACAGAAAAGAAACCTAAGTAGTCAAAAAATTATATGGAAACTCCTCTTCACTACTTTCTTCCCTTGTTTTTTTTTTCCATTACCTTTTGCAGAAATGCTCTTAGCAAAAGCATATGAAAATGCAGTAACTGGCTATTCTTTTGCCATAGTTTTACCTGAGCTTTCATTCTGTAATTATCTGACAGCCACTACACAGCACTTTCTAATATTATGCAATGCACTTTTCAATTAAGCAGGAGGCTGTGTATCTCTGCTCAGTATCCCTGGTGGCTTCAAATAAGCTTTTCACTTGTTCCATCTCCAACACTTGTTTGGCACAACAGTAATTTTTCCAGATGAGAGACAACCCAGTGATCATAAAGAATGAATTATTTACAGAGAGATCAGTACTCCAGTTCATGTCAAGACTTCACTAATTGTATTTAATTGGAAGTACCACACTGAACATATGCACAGTGCTCTCAGGTTCATAAAAGCCTTAAGTGCTTAAATACTACTGAAAAAAAGGAAAATGCTGAGGGGATCAGTAGCAGGAAACAATACCTTGCACTTTTAGAACATTAACTGAAATCAAGTCAATGTTAATCAAGCCTAAATCACATCATTTGCTAATTGGTTGATGGGGACAGGTAATCCCCTTTTCTAATGGGCATATGGTACCATAAACCCTCAACACAGCAGCCCCAGTTATAACTATGCCGATCGGATTGAACTTCTTGATGCCATTCAGCTTACCTACACTGTCTCCATGCAGGCCCACCACTGAAGCAATGCTGTGGACTTCGATCTTTACAGTGCTTTTCAATAGATTTAAGGCATTTTACAAACCAATTAAAAAAAAAAAGAACAAAACAGAGGAACTGACTTCACAAGATTCATTAAGCAATCGGCAGCAAAGCTCAAGACCAGTTTAGGTCCAGGTTCATTGTTCCATTCAGTAAACTTGCAGTTTCACCAAACATGGTAAACCAATCTAACGCATCATTGCATGCAAGAAAACAAGAGTGGGGAGAGTTTTCTGCAAGGTGAGCATGTCAAATCATCTCAAAGAAGCGTCCTGTGATTGCCAGAGCCTGTTCTGAGGACAAAGCAGCACAACCACTTCAGCAACAGCAAGCTGTTAGTACAGCAGTGTCACCCTCACCAGGCTCCAGAAATCTGCCCTGATAAGTTAGGTATAAAGAGAGCACTCCTTAAGAAATCAGGCTTTGCAGAAGGGCACTAGTAACTGCTGGTATGTAAGTGGAGGCAAAATAAGATACCTGCCAGCCCTTCTGGCTTTACGTCTTGGTTTCAATTCCTTCCTCTGTCCAAGAGGATTCAAAACCAATGCATGCGCTCCTTCTCAGGTGAGCACCGGAAACAGCAGGTTAGGGAACCAATTTCCAACTTGCTATTCATAGGTCCTTATGGTTATTCATTAACTACTTACAAGGAATCCATAAAAATATAACTGAAAAGGCAAGTTTACTTGCCAACAAGCTTAAATAGCCCAACAGTAGCCAGCAAGACAGAGAAAAGGGCTAACAACTCACATTTGCAATTGTCCTCTGTCACATCTCATCTTGAACTTTTCTCCACTCAATGACTGTTTTAAACGCATGTAGTCTGTAGTGTGTGTGATAGGTAAGGTCAGTCTTCCCAAAAGCTGAAGAACAGGTGAACTCAGCTGCAGGGCACTTGAACATCCATTAGTTTTCTTACTATCACTGGATTATTATTTTTTTAAAAAAAAAAAATGGAGAGTGAAGATGAGCACATCTCCTCATTTGCTCTCAAAGCGAGTCTTGCTTGCTTTTTGAGAGAAGTTTCTTTCCCCAAAAAAATGAGTGCCCATGCCTTATGTCAGAAGTGTGGAGCAAAAAAGGCCACCTCCTGCTCACTCTAAGATGTCTCAGCGCCTGGCTAACACTGGTTGCAGGCCACAAGTAACTATGCCTCACCCCCAGCATTCCCTATTTTGTAGCCCCAAGTGAGTGTGCCGGTGTTTCAGCCCACGTTTCCTCAGTGCACTACACGCACATCTTCCTCCGAAGCCTGACACCAGCCATGCTGCGCCCACGGTTCTGGATTCTGCTGTACAGGCCAAAAACCCAAGTAGCCAGCAGTGCAGCGACAAACTTCAAACACAGATTTGAACATAGACCATGTACCACTGGAAATATCTGAAACAGTACACATTACATTACCCATTTCTTTCTTAGTGAGAGGATTGAGCAAAGTAAGCCTCAATGTGTTTCTCCTGAGAGCTGAGCTTTAAGTTCAAACGCATTCAAAACCAAGCTTGAGTCAGAGTCCCATTTTGTTTAATTTCTAATTTATGCTGAACAAATAATTGCTTGCTCTCAATCCCTCCAAGCCAGTTAAAACCAAATTGATGTGTCTTGCAGAATTCTTCCTGGGATAAAAAAACTGTTGCAAAACCTCTGCTGCCAGAGATCAGATATGTATCAGTACAAATAGAATAAGTGGGATTTCCTACCCTATTTAGATTTAAAACATAAAAGAACAAACACTGTGTCCGCAAGGAGAACATATACTTGTAACAGGGTAATTAGGCTCTGGAACAGGTTGCCTGGAGATGTTAAGCATTCACAGAGATCCTTGAAACTTGACTGGCCCTGAGGAACCAGATCTGACTTTGAAACGAGCCCTGCACTAAGCAGGAGTCTGGACCAGAAATCTCCAGAGGTCCCTTCCAACTTCAGCGTTACTATGATTCCACATACATTGACATATAAATGGAAAGCTAACCTTGTGAGATGAAGTGGAGGAGTAAGTAAATCAGGACTACCGCAAACATTCATAAAGATGTTAACAGCTTTTATTTCACTGGTGCAAGGCCCGTGTGTCATCCACCACTCACCAACATCAAAACAAAACATAGTCTTCTATAAAACAGTTTCAGAAAATTCAAAACAAAGTAACAGTGGCTATAATAAACTTCATACAATACTGTAAATCACTTAGTTTGTGTCATCCAAACAAGAACAAATCAGTTTCTAGCATACATGGCTCCCCCCCGCCCCCCCAAAAATATACCAGCACAACTCCAATACATGCCTCACACCTGGAAATGCGTAACATCACTCCATAACATTGACAGCTGTTCGTGCTTAGAACTAGTCATCAATTCACCCTACCAATATCATAAAATACAAAATGATATGAAAAACCTACATTTACAAAGTACAGTTCCCAATCCTGCAATCTAATCCGTTTGGGCAGGTACCTGCACCCATTCCAACTCCCCTGAAGGCAATGTGGTATTTAGTGCTCCATTGCTAAAGATTTGATTGCAGAATCAGGGTACAAGCAGTAAAACACTGCCTCATTCTTCTAGATTCAGTTTCAGTAGTATTTGCACAACCTCCTAAACTGGGACTTACCAATTTTCAATCACCTCACATTTAGGAAGAAAGAAGGATAGGCTTTAAAGAAGTCAGCAGAGAAATGGCTTTTACTGAAATGACTTGGGGCTGTGCCTCAGTGCACGGTGGTGATCGAAATGCTTCCAAGAGATAATCACACCTTGCTTCAGTTTTTACAGTATTTGCTGCCTTCCTCTGCTTTACAGGAGTTTCTTCACCAGCAAGATATCAGAGGTCTTGTTGCCATTAGACGAGCATTACGACATGACTCCAAAAACAGGATTATGACGACAAATACTAGGACCATACTCTTCATAGTCTTTCTTGGTGTGACATACTTGGAAAAACTCTGGCTGTGAAAATATAAAACAAATCCCCTCAAAAGCATAAGAATATATCACGTAGAAAAACAGACGAACAAACCAATACCTTAACATTTTTGTAGATTGCAGCTTTATGATGTCGTATTACATTTTTGAAATAGAATAAAACTGGAAATATTAAGATATGAATACAATTAATCAAGCAAAGTTTGTCTGGACAGAAGATTGCTTTTAATCACAGCAATAAGAAATCCCACTTTGGAGACAGGAATTGATGCCGTTTTCCTGTATTTGCTTCTCTCCTATGTTTAAGACCATTGATTTGGATCTTATGTTCCTGAAGTCCTAAATAATCTCTAGTGCTGACTTCAAGAATAAAGGAACTACATTGCAACTATCATGTAAAAACTACCTCAGAATTATGTCAAATCATGATATCCTTACCCAAGCAAATCTCCCACTTGCCCTGTACAAATTTTACTGAGACAAAAGTTTGGTAAAGATTCCAGAATGTGATACGGTTTAGTCTGTCACAAGGGAAAGGTCTAAAACTTAGTACTCAGATCAAATATAGCCAGAAGACAATACGCAATTAAAAAAAAAAATCAAAACAATTTTGATAAAGACTTACTGTTGAAGCCAGCATGGAACCACCAAACCAAACTGCGTAACGCTGCATGTGATGTGTTATCACTTGAACTTCAACTGGTTTGGGCTAAGAGAAAACAGTTCGTATTTAGTTGGTTTACATTTTCTGGCAAAATCCTTAGAAACTGAAAATGCTCAGACCCCGACATCTTAATTCCTCAACTCACATCACTATCTCACACTTATTACTCAGTCTGACGCGCTCCCTAGGAGACCAAGTCATAAAACTCTTAATGATTAGCATCCTGAAGGACACAACAGTTAAATCCCTGTTGCCTAACACTAAGATCATGCATATCCTAGAAGGGAAACCAGACATGCCCTTAGAGGCTGCTCACAGTAACTTTAAGATTCCTGTAAAGACATTGCAAGGCTACCAACACATTTAACAACAAATACATATATAGTACTCATTTTACAGCACTACATTTTCACTAGTGGGGTGAAAATTCTTAATATTATTTCTCTCACTACTCACATAATTAATGCACTTGAAATTTTTACTTACTTTTATCCTACCACCGCTGAGTTCCTCACTAAGTCGCAATCTCGCATCCACTACTCTTTTCAAATCCCTTTGCAGTCGTCGTCCAAAGTCCCTGAACATCGTGGATCCTCCCGAGAGGACCACATTCTGTGCAGAAAATAGACACACTCTTTAAATACATTTTTCAAGTGAGTTTCCCAAAAGCCAGCACTGCAGAGGTGACTATTTGGATCTTAACATTAGGAAGCTAAAAAGCTACATAGAACACCTTAAGCATTGTTCAATTTCCGTAAGAAGTCCATGGTCCCCTACTTTCTTTTTTTCCCTTTAAAGGAGAGTTCTACGTAGAATACATTATTACAAAAGAGGATTCCATTCAAATGGTGAGCTAGTACCCTAAATGTGCACGGCAGCAGAAATAAGACACTACAACAAAAAGTTTCCCAGGGATGCTCATGGCATCAGGGCTAAAACTGCTTACTAAATAAGGTTCTCAGCCTTGTTATATTACTGCAAGTGTCTTTCCAGCAGCTGTGAAGTTATCTAGAAATATTTTTTTTTTTTTTTTTTTTTTTTTTTTAATATTTAAACTCCTAAACATAGCAACAAGCAAGTCCCATAATTCTTCAAAAAGGTACCACACCTCCAAAGAGGACTGCAGGTCCAGAAAGGTACAATGCCTTTCACTTTGCCTGGCTACACCTGCTTGCCTGATACTAGTTTTCAGAGCAGAACCAAAAGCCTCTGAGCCTGGACTTGTACTTGGATTTTGAACAGGGGGTTTAGAATATCACATCCTTAATTCTAATAACGTTGCAGGGTCACAGACTAAAAAAGTAATTTTAAATGGTGGGGAGATTCAAAACAGGAACCCTAGAACATAACATTGGTGGCAGCAAAGATGCATTTTATAATCAGAAAAATGAACTCTATGTCACAAAACTGCATGCACTCCCTTGCATACTGCTGCAACTGCAAACTAAAGTGCTAATTAGTGTTTACTAAAACCACTCATATGCCTTAGACGCATGTCTACAAAGAAGTCAACTGAGATCAAGAGTTCGTTATACCCAGGTCAAAGGATCACCTCTCAGTAAGAGTTTTTGACACTGCAGACCAAGACTGTGCACATAATGAAAGAATCCCTGAAGCCCTGTTTTCAGCCAGGAAGCCGCACACAGATCTGAAGAGTCAGAGACGCATAACAGCATTCACACGTGCAAGGTGCAGAAGTAAATGCTTGGATTTTAAGCAACAGATAACAAGGACAATCTTGTTTGTAACTTGTGAAGTGAGAAGAAAGCTCTTTGTTTATTCATAAAAAAAAAAACCCTCTGCACATCATAAAAACCATTACAGTAAGAAAAACTCATTTCTTCACAGCTTCAGATTATCTACAGTATAAAAGAGAGCATAACAAGGCAGCTGTACTTAAAAGGAAAGCACACGTCCCCGTAACATTACTGAAACATTTCCCAAAAGAAAGAGAAGGGCTGAGAGGAAAGGAACTGTATGTATGAGCAGGTGCCAGAAACCACAGTTGGTACTAAAATTGAAGCAGGAGGGAGATTCCCCCTGCTCCCCTCAAACACAAGAACATCTCTTCCTCTGCCTCAAAGTGGTTATGCACTCCACGTGGGAAAAGAAAATTGCTAATGGGGGAAAAAAGACGACAACAAACCTGAGTGATGAAATAGCAATTAAAAAGATGCCATCAAAAAATATTACATGGAGATAATGAAATCACCGTGAAGATGGTGAAAGCAATAATTCTATTCAAAGCAAATTAAACTTCAAGTATCCTCCATAAAATGGACAATGCTACCACTAAAAATAGATTTCAGAATACACCCGAGAACAATTGTTTGAATACATCTGAGACCAACTCATGCAACTACAGGGTTAGCAGTAACATTGAGAGGATCTTTTACGTTCCAGGGCTAGAAGCTAAGAGGTTACACCTTCCTCAGATTATGATTATTCAAGTACTTCTACACACTGAAAGAAGTTTAACGCTAATAGTGGTCAAGGAGAACAGAAGCACTAGGATATACTTATTGAAAGATGAGCCATCTCATTATCATACATCTGGACAAGCCAGGCCAAGCAGAATTTTGGATGTAAGTACCTGGTGACACCAACTGCCATAAGATGGTTGATTATACAGTTACAGTTCCCCTGCTCCCTGCACTTCTTGTCAGCACTGTGCCAAATCCATGCTAACTCTTTAGTAGAAGACTGCTCACGTATGGGCTTCAGGAAGTTATCACAACACAGCAGCGCAGTCTTCTGCAAAGAGGCCAGGAGCCAGGTAGTCCTCATTCACAATGAAAGCAGAATCCTTACACGTTCCCCACCCCTCAAACAACACACCCACCACCTACAAAGGACCCAATGAAGGTGGGAAAAGACTGTCAAATAAAAAGAAACCAAAAAACAACAAAAGAAAAAACACACACACAGAGCAAATACCTTCTGTAGAATAACTGAGTGTAACGCAGCACAGTAATTCCAGTAACTAGACAACAAAAAACGTAACAATGAAGCATGCTAAATACATCTGTGGAGAAAGCTTACTAGTGATGTTTGGGTTTTCAGCCTGCCTGGGAATTCTCTGGCCTCCCAGAAAAAGGCATCAAGGAAGTTAGGATTTAAGTATCTGTTTCCAGCTGATTCCTTTAAACAAGACTTCTTCTGATCTTACTCTGCTCAAAGACACTTCGGCTGGTTTAACAGCTCAAGGCAAACCACAGGTTTCACAGCTAACACTGATTATCATACCATCTGACAGAAAGAAGTTCCAGCTGATTTTTACTTTTATAGCTAACTGGTTGAAAATTTAAGTCGTATCAAAAGAATGTACTCCCTTAGAAGAGAGGGTTGAAGACGTTCCACACACCTGATAAAGCTAACCACAAGTACATAATGAAAGTAGGCCATTTCTGGAAGGAAACTGGGGGGTGAACACCAATCCTCTCAGAGGGCTGGCAAGAAGTTTCTCACTTCTCATCCATACCCTTTGCATCTCTCATGAACTCCAGGATATCAAGTTTCTCTCCATACCATTTCTGGTATTATGCCTGTACAGTGCAATGCAGAGGTATGAAGCTGCCTAACAAAACCATCCAATTACTGTAACAGAAATCTCTACCTAAATAAAGTTTACATGAAAACTCCAATAGGTTAAGTTAGCTTCTGCAGAACTCAACACAACGAAACACAAGGTGCTGAACTGGTTTCTGCATCTTCCTACCGCACCTTGTAACACGGTGTAAGTGCACTCTCAGCTGGACACTTCAGACTTTGCAGCACCAAACAGAATAAGCCACTGCTTTTCCAGTAAATAGGAACTTCAACAACACACCCAGTTTAAGTAAGTTGTTTAACATGACACAAGCACACAACCAGAGACGTGTAATGAGAGTAATATAAAACCGTGAATAAAAATTATTATGGGTAAAGACTGGAAAGTTCACAAGATGAAGCCAAGCACTTCATGAGCAAGTGAATCAATTAAGCTATATGCTGCTGTTAATTTAGTTAAAATGGGGCAATATTTGCCAACATTGTAGCGAAAATATAAGGAGAAATATTACATATATCAAAAAATATTATATATAATAAAGAAGTACATGTGTTGTGAGAAACTATTTTTTTAACTAAGTTTGACTTTTAATGATGAAGAAACAGTTTCTGTTTCTTTAAAATCATAGTTTTCGATGTTCATTTAATTGTTCAAGTAATAGCAGAAGATTCCGGCATGACTTACTGTCATGCTGTTCTGCAGAAATATGCCTGCACTCAGACACAAAAGTAACCACAAAAGACTGCAGATATATTGAGCTACTGTTAAACTCGCTAGCATGGGTAACGTTATAAATTTGATTACAGCTGTGATAGGAATAAACAGGGCTTCTCAGTACTCCTGTGCTACACTAACTGTTAATCACTTGGGGCTTCCACGTGGGGTAGCAGGAATACCTGTCCTTTCCCACATCTTATCATCGGTGCCAATATGACACAGATCTAACGGCCTGGCTACCTCTCATCAGAGCTTCCCCTCTCCATACTTAATAATTAATGGCAAACATTGTCATTTTGCTGAAGCACAGATAAGAAAAAGTCAGTTGAACACTATCCAGTCCTCTGCTTTAGGATACCTACAATTTCAGAGAGCAAAGGCAAGAATAGGGTTCATACAGCACATGAGCTGGGCACCATCACAGACTGTATTTCTCTCTGCAGCTCGCAGATGTCCAGCGGATGCCGCACAGCAGTCTGACAGCGCCATCTACACACCGCGCTGTGCATGTGAAGCTGTTTTCACACCAAGTATTTACCAGCAATTCAAGTTGGAAGTGATGTTAGGGGCATGTTTACCACCCCTTTAGCTTCCTGCACCCCAGATCTCTCCAGCCTTTGAGGATGGTTTGTTATGAGCAAGTTGTTGGGCAGTCAACACTTTAACCATCTGAGAGAACACCGATACAAGCGAGTCCAAATCTTAATTGTATCAGCAAGCTCAAGTGCACTATTGTCCACAATAACTGCACACTAAATATGTGTCCACAACTGCTAAAAAGTCATCTTCTCTAAGGAAAAGAGCCAACATCATTTAAAACCTGCCTCCATGCAACTGCATTTCTACTGAAAGCTACATGATTTACCTACAATAAAACACTGTACTTGCAAATGCACTGCAGTCCCAACCTCATGCAATGTTTTCAGCTTGAGAAGCTAACTTAAAAGTTTGAGGTCGAGGATGTCACAGCTTTGAATCGTGAATATTTAAACATGCTTGCTTAGGGTCTTTCAGAGAAGCTTCTGACAGAATTTACCTGCTTTCAGATGTCACTTACCTTAAATTCTTTCATCCATATATTTCTGCCAAAAACAGCAGACAAAAGGTGAAAGAAATCAATTGTGGGGACAGCCAATAACCCTACACTTATATCCTTTCTACCGGGAGAAGGCACAGACCTCAGTACTGTCAATACTATTCTCATCTCCTGTTACCATCTAAACTCTGGAAGTATCTGGGTAGAGATTCTGGATGGGGAAAAAGGAAGACAAAGTAGAGTGTGGAGCAAGAGTGATGGTTTCTGAAACCATTACCAATAAAAAAAATACCATTTATTAGAACATCAAGCAACTTCTGAAAGCCCTTTGTTTAACTTTAAAGTTAGAACTAAGAAAATCCACCTTATATCTTCAAATTTCAATGCAATCCCCTGGTTCCAAACCCAGCAGCCTACTTATCTTCTTCTATTTTAGCAGAAAGCACCTCATCCCAAGCAATTCAGAACTCTCAACCCCGTGTTAGAGACAGAGTAAGACCATAAATCAAGTCTTCCAAGCAATCGCATTAAGATGGTGTGATCATGGGAATTAAATGAGTGCATTGCTGGCAATCATTATGCAATTAAAAAGGCTTTATTTATCACGTGCTTAAACACTCTTTAGAGTGTTTGCTACAAGCTGTGGGGTCTGGATGAAGAAATCAGTCTTATGAAGGTCCTGCTGGTCCAAACATCAACATAAGGTAAGATAACTGGGCTCATAAGAGAGATGTTGGTCAGACTGGGAATCAGGGATACTGGCAATAAAACTAAAAAAGAGAAATACCATAGGACTTCAAAAGATGGGTTGTGAAACAATGCTTCAAAGGCTACATACCACATATAACCTGCAAGAAGGGTACTTGCAGCTATTTTCTGCACTAACACCAAGGAAGAATCCAGACACATTTGACAGAAACCCAGCTCCAAAGCACAGGGCATTGGCTGGCCACCACACAGCACTGTGGGCAAGCAAAACTGATAAACCACAGAAACTAAGTACGAGGGGATTTCTGCATGCGTACTCTGTTTTAAATGGTAAGAACAGAGATGCTTGTCCCTTTGCAGTGACTTTGCTTAAAGAAATAACTATTAGCATTAATAACTACTGACATCTGTCATTACATTTAATAGGTAATAGTGTACCATTGTTTTAATTAAGCAAGTACAATGAAAAACAGAAAACGAAAAAACAAAGTTGGAATCAGCGGCAAGCCAAGGGAAAAGTATTTGCCTGCTGGTTTTTTCGTCGAGGAGAGAGTAACAGCTTCAGTTGTTTAACACCACTTTCCAGAAGTCAGTACTAATCTCTATCCTACCAAGCAATGAAGCTATTGATTTATGGCAACTTTGGTCTTTTGGGAAAAAAGCACAGCCCCTAAGCACAAACAGACACTAACAGTTTCCTAAAACCTTCAGCAACATACCTAAGCTTGAAGTCATTGAAAACATCTACTGCAAAATTCACTCCACATATGAGCTTGTTAAGTAGTTTATCTTCCCTTTTTAACCTGCTCCACAGATTTGCTCTGAAGCACTACGTCTCATTCTAGAGTACAGAATACGTTTAATAGACAAGTGAAAACAGACTGGAAATTTTTCAGTTATGCATTACCCTGAGTTACAACTTAGTTGGAACTTAACAGTCATTGTAACGGGTGAGGAAAACTACCACCTTTACATAAGCAAACAGACCTTTCCATGCCATTACCTTATGCTGTTATTTCCAAAAAGACACTGCTGCTGCACAAGCAGAAAACAACCTGGAAGCGTAGGACGTGCTGCCAATACAGAGAGCACTTGCCATTGGCTATACCTGTCAGCACCATCCTTTTCAGTTCTTAAAGAATCACTGATTGAACATACTCTCTGGACTACACCCTGGGCAAGTTCAAGCAGGCTTAATTATCGTCTCCTAAAAGATTTTAAGTCTTCAGGTACTTCAATACTGGGTTCAATACCCGGCTAAAACTGCAGACAGTAGGCAGATACAAGTCAAGGCTATGAGAAAAATACATATACTTGAAACAACTGCTTTATTAAGGCAGAGGGGAGTGAGGGCGTAAGACCATGATCTAACCCTTAAAATGGGCAAAAGCCAGAGACATTCATACACAAAAATTCACATTACCAATGTCAGATACAAATAACTTCCCCCGCCTCAGTTCCTCAGGGACAATACTTACCTATGTATCAACCCTCTGTTACAGATAACCTTTCTTTGAAAAATAAAAAGCAGCAAATATCAAGTACTCTTCATTCAGAAGTGGCACTTTGTTTAACTTGAACTTTATTTCTATTCAAAGTTCACATTTCTCATAGTGGGTGAAGTGGTAGCTAAGTATATGCTTCATGATAAGGATGTTGATATTCATCTTCAAATAAATCACGTTAATCTTGCAACAGAAAGACCATACCTTATATAATGGACGCCGGACATCAATGGGACAGTTCTGTATAACTTCATCAACTACATCCGAAATGGATTCCATAAAATCTGGATTAGCAAACTAAAATGAAATAGAACAGGCGTTAGATTTTTCATCCTAAGAATCCAGAATCAAAAAGGCAGAAGTGATGTAGAGAGATTTTGTAATAGCACTTTTAAAGGCGGCGGGTGGGAATCAAAGTTGGTATCACTCCTGCGCACCACTTACTCTACATTACAATAAACCCATTTCTGTACAAGGGAAATGAGAAAATGAGAATTCCCTTTTCTGCTGAGAAATTCAGATTCTCTGCCTTGGTCATAAATTCACGGTTTACAATTTACTCACTATGGACTTCACGTGATATGAGTGAGTTGTCTCACAATATTAAACGTACTGTTACTGTGCAATGTGGTCCTGTCTTTCCATTTAAGTGAAATCAAAAATATCAGTGTGCAAATGGAAATGTTCCTCTGTAAAAAATTTCCAACCCTACTAAAATACCTACATTAAATTCCCATGAGTCAGATTTAGTTTCAAGCACACAAAATTTCTAATATTCAAAAAGGCATAAATACTGTAAGGTCTTGAGTGGAAGTCCCCAACAATGCAAAACATCAATACAGTGCTAATGTAAATTTCTGCATTTATAAATAGTAGAGAGTCAGAGCTGCTAATGCTAGTAAACATTCTTGGACTACTAGCAATTTTACACTTAAACTTAACATAAGCTTTCAAAACAGTTCATAGCCTAGGTTTTGCACTTTCAGAGATTAAACTTTGAGAAATTAAATGAATTATTAACGTATAATAATATATTATTATACAACTTTAAAAATTTTCCAAAGGTGTAGAAACTATTCGGGATTTACATCCTAAACAAGATGAAGTATCTAACTGGATGAAAAACAAAGGCCAAAACACAAGAACACACAACTGAAAGAAATTAGCAAAGGAAGGTGGCTTGGAGATCAGGAGCCATGAGAATGATGTGAAAAATCCCCAAGAATTCAAGCTAATTTCCACAGTAAGAATTAATCATGCAGGAAGCTAAAATATGAAGCTACATAAATTAAATCAGAAGAAAGAAACAGCGTTGCTTCGTAAGGAGAGTTCTCATCTGCCTGAACCACAGCCTGAAAACTTCTCCCAAGCTCTCCATAAAGATATTGATAAAACAGCCGGGCAAAAGGAGTAAGTAGAAATGAGAGTTATGGCATGCAAAGCAGAGTATAACATGCTCCCAGAACAGGGACAAGAGAACTGACATGTGAAATTGCAGTCTGCTAGCAAATACCATATGGTTGGAAAATAGCAAGTAAAATGTCTAATTTAAAAAGCGTAGAAATAATCTGCGCAACTACAACCCCAAAGCCTAACTTCAAGAGTATTAAAGACTTCAGAACAAATTTTGTAAACTGAAAATAGGAAAAGATTACAAGACAGCTTTACCAAAGGCAGCTTTTACCTAACTAACTTGACACCCTTTGAAGTGAGCAGTTAATGAAGTCCAGTGAGAAATTCTCTTTGGATGCAGTACGTATCATCTAGTGTGTTTTTCTTGTCTAGAAAGTCAGTTCAGTTGTTTGGTTTGGGTTTTTTTGGTTTTTTTGTTTTGTTTTGTTTTTCCTCAATACAGAGCCAAGAAACTATCAAGAAATGAAAAAAATGGATATTAGTCCTTTATCCTGTTCCTAACAGTCTGTGAAGGGACTATGGAAAGAGGAGCTATTAAAATGGTGTCTGACATGGGATTCAATGTCTCTCTGTAAGATCGCATGGGTAAACAGCAGGGCAGACAAACTATTTAGCCCAGGGGTTTAATGTTGGCACAAGACGGGATGGCTATAAACTGACCACAAAGAGATCAAGGCTGGAATTTAGACAAAAGGCCAAGAGAATGATTATTTTTTTTAATATTCTTCCAATAGGAGGAGGGTAGACTAAGGGAAACTTCACCAGTGTTAATGTGGATCTTGATTAAATTTAACTGTATTACAGGTTATGGGTGCCTGCAAGAAACTCAGTGGAGTGTGCAGAAATGGAGAGGACCTCCTCTGCTACGCTATAACATATTAAACCTTGACTCTTTCCTCTCCCGCAACATCACAATATCCTGAAGCTCACTCAAACTGAATTGCCAAAAACCAGAGAGATTAGGTATTGTAATGTTTCCCAGAACTATACATGTTACTTGTTACCACACCAACAGAGATTTCAATGGACTTATTTAAATGCTTTAAAAAGTTTTCAATGCTTTAAAAATTGACCCAGTACCACAAGTCAGTATCCAAGATTTAGAATATTATCAGTGCAATGCTACCATGCCGAGTAGCGCCCAAAGGGATTGGCAACATAACCAAACACACTGTATAAAGGCATCTTAGTTTAAACCAATGCTGAAAAAAAAAAGGAAGATACTATACAAAATCTCTAAGTTCAAACAATTTCTTCTCCATTTTAGATTGCCTTGAAAGAAACAGAGTAAGATGTTTTAAATGTTACACAGGACATTAGAAAAGTAATTACCTGCTGTGCTCAAGTTACCTGAGACTGTACATGGCTTGCAGTCAGGAGACTTACTGATTTCTTACTTCCACGTGATGGCGCACTAGCATCAAAAATGATAGTACCTCCCTCCCCCCACTCAGACAGTAAAGTTGCCATGGCTTAATATTGCTAGTCTCTATTCTTACCTCAGGATGAAAGAAAATTTCAGGTCCAAGGAACCTTTCATAACCGACATCTATAACAAACTTGGTTTTGTTGATTGCGTTGATGCCAGTATACTGTTTGATCCATTTTCGAGGATCTCCGTCGTACTTGGCAAATTCTTTCACTATGTCAGGGCAAATGTAACAGTATTTCTCCTGTTAAGAAATACCATGCATTAAAAATTGCCAAAATAATTATTCCATCATTGAATTAAAGTATAACACAATCCGAAAACAAAAATATGTGAGCATTTTTACAGATGGGGCTGTTCAACAGATGTTCTTACTCAAATGACTACTGAAGACTCAGCCCTACAGGATGATGAACATGGCCTGTTTGTTTCAATAAAATTACACACGGATTCATCTAGATTAGTATCTCTCAAAATGAAAATATCACAACCATAAGGCCTGGTTGTAACAGTAAAGAAGTTCAGTGGTGAGCTCTCATTGCAAGATCAGACCCACAAGATCACCCTACTGCCATTGCATACATTTATTTTTCATTAAATTAAAAAGCAAATTTCAAACAAATCTAAAGCTTGAAATGCTGATTTAATCTGCAGAACATACTCACTCTAAACAGTCTAGCATGAAGATTTTCTTCCTCTTTCTCCTTCCCCCGCACTTGATTGGATAAATCACCAGAAGCTTGTGTAATTACAATACACTGCCTACATTTGCATTTTAAGAGAGCCACCGGCAACTTGTTAAAGCCAAAAAATTAGTTCAAGGAGTTTTATTTATTTATTAAGAGATAAAGAAGGGTGTACCTTTATGGCTTTTGCTGTCTCCAGAGATTGTTCAGGAGGAATTCCCACCTCCCTTTCCCTTAGGAGTTGTTGAATAAAGTAAGTAATATCTCTACCCGCAATAGGAATATGTTTGATGCAACTGCCAATTACATAGCCTTCTGCCTATGAGGAGAGGGAAAAGCCTGCTATATATCAATAATTAACAGCAAAACTAACATTCATTTTTATAATACTTTGCTTTGATTTTTACTTAAAAGTAAAATTTTGAAACTGTAAAATTACTAGAAAAATGGGCAACCCACTGCAAAATGGATATTATTTTTATTGACAAGACCTTGATTGCCACATATAAACAGACACTGATTATCTAATAGATACACAAGTGATAGACAAAATCTTGCCCACATCAAAAGACAAAGTCTAGTCAGATGGTTCCTTTTAGACACAATTTGAAAAGCAAATGTAATATAAATAGACCGCTCATGTCCTGTTTGAGAACAAAAAATTAATACGAAAAAGTATAAAACTTATTAAAATTCTCAGACAAGAAAAATCAAATTAAGTAGTATCTAATGATAAGCACAGTACAAACAAGAAATTTATTTGCCGAATTTTTTTCAGGATGCATTTACTGGGGGGAAAAAAAAAGGTATTGCTGAGCCAACATTATTTCTTCCTTTTTTTTTTTTTTTAAAAACACTTTTCAGAGTTTCATATGGTAAATGCTGGTTTTATCACAGAATTTCCCATATGAAGAAAACACTGTGAAGACCAGGTTAATACCAAAATGCAGTATCAAGTTAAAGGGAATCAAATCCTCATTCTAAAGTAACTGTTCATTCAAGCATACTATATGCTTCAGAAATACACAAAGTAACATCAGTAGAACAGATGCCAGTATGCACAGATAATTCTATATTTTTAGCAGCCTAAAACAATTAAGCCGCCTGAGATCAACTATGTATATGAATATGCATTTATACAAGCTTGTAGTTGTTTCCACACAAGCAGAGTTCACTAACATCTAAAATACAATAAAATCATATAAAAAGCACACATTTTTAGTTGTATTATCAATCAAAATGCAGGACATCAAAAAAGTATAGGACATTTCTTGTCAGACACTGATGGCATGCAGGAGATCCAAAACTGTGATAAGCATTAATATTAAACAGAACTGAGGCATCACAGTATCGGAAGACAAAGTTTTACACAGAAATAGCCTTTAAAAGATGACCTGATGATTCCTTACTGTGACTTTCCTATAGTCTGCAAACTAAATTAACTGCATTAGTAAGTTCACATAATAAAATACATAATTTTCAAAACAATCATAAGGGAGGGAAAATCCAAAACAACCGTGTAACACTAAAAATTTAGTTTCATTTGACACTTCTTATTTAAACTTATTGTAAACAAACCCCATGCTTGTCCAACCCACTTATAATTTGAAATTGCATCTTGCTACATACATACCACAGGAATTACGTGGGTCACTCCATCACCACTATCGATGACAATTCCAGTCAAAGTACGTTCTCCAACCTGCCGTGACGTCCAAGAGGCAGCTAAGGCCAACACTGCCTACATGTGAAAGAGTTTATACTTAGAAGCAGGCAGAATGTGCTAATTTACAATCTTAAAAAATACTGTTTCAAACATTTTAGACACATGCATACAAAAGGCTATACATACTGCAGCTATACCGTACTTTAAAAGTACATATTCACTTTGTTCACCTGAACAGCAATGTAAAGTCCTGGTATGTTAAATGATTCGAACATGATTTCTGCAAGATACTCTCTGTTTTCTGGTGTGTTCAGCGGAGGCTCTGTCTGAAAAAAACCCCAAAGTTTTGAAAAAGCACTTTAATAGAGTTCATGCATTGATTAGCTTGGCAAGGTAGTCAAACTTTTAAAATTCTCAGTGCACCCAAAATAGAAAATTTCAAGCAGAATTTAGTTTAAACTAAGTGAATGAAGCTTTTCAAAAACAAAATCCAACCTGCACTAGCCTGCATTGGAAAATAAACAGAATTTAGTTATCAATGCAGCTTTACAGATTATTTTCCTCATCTCCTTCCCCCCCCCAGCCCCCCCCCCCTCCAGTTGCTGAAGAAATAAGACATATACGGAGAAAAATCCTCCAACAGAGCTACTTATGCTTAGAACACTATTTAGCTTTCCCCTTAAAAAAAAAATATTTTCTTCCCCAGTCTCATTAACTCACCATTAAAAAATAGTGATCCTCAGGTTCAGCTCGTAGGTATTTAAAAATGACCTGCTCCATGAATCTCTCCATGAGGTCCCAGTCTTCAACAATACCATGTCGTATAGGCCACTGAAGCAAGGAAACTTGTCAACGCTCTAGACTATACAAGGATAATCAAACCCAGAAATAGGAACGGCCTAAGTCCCCAAACCCTTACACCTTCTGCAAGAACAGAAACACCTCATCTCATGGTTATCTTATCAAATCCTCCATTCTAATTTTAATTTGGAGGCATTATTTGAAGGTATCTCCTGCTCCCAGATACTTCAAATTGCAATTCTGTCTTGGAGGACTAGAAGCCAGAAGCCAGACTATTCTTAATACTGCTACTGATCTATTGCAGCACTCTTCTTTAATCTCTTTTTTTGTATAAATTTTATCATTTACAAAGTTGAGAATCATACTTGGCTTCAATATGCCTTCCAACCTATAAAAAGAAATAAAGACCATATAGGCTATATATTTTTCAACAAAAATTCTGGCAGGGATGATGTTTACATTTTGTTCAACATTAAGAACACAGCTGACATTTAAGTAACACAGTAGGATGTATAAAATATGATTTTTTCCACATAATTCATAAGCTGGTAACATATTGTAAGTACAAGAAGTCCTTTACTAGGCTATGGAAAATATGATTCACAGAAAAGCTGCATTGAAGACAGCCCTCCACAGAACAATTGTGACATTCCCTGAAGCAAGAGTATCCAACACATTCCCCAGTTCGTGTGCCACGTTAAGAGGATACACTTTTAGCAAGAATTTAAATATTCAGTGTTTATGACTATTTTAATAGCTAATAATTTTGAAAACTGAACAGCTGCACTGCATCAATGGGTATTTACACAGGGGTTCAAGCACCAATCACATAGGACAGCACTAGTAAAACAGACTAAACAGAGTAAAAATGGTAAAGCCAGGAACTACATCATGCAGCTTTTAAAAAGCAACAAATACACTTTACAGAAAAGTAAACATGTTTTAAATGGCTACCAAGAAGTTCTAGAACATTATATAATAAAACCATGAAACTTTGGAAAGATTTCTTAAAAATACTCAATGCTTACCTTTGTAGCATAGGTAGGTTTATCTATGGCTTCATCTCCTATGAAAAAGTCCAGATCATCAACGCCTTTCATCACCCTCCTCTGAGCCTGGTCACCTACTTTGGCTGATTCTCGGATTGCAATACCTTAAAATAAAACCCAAACAAATCAAAACAAAATTAAAACAGCTAAATACCACGTAATGAATATTTATTTACTTATGGATTCTTGTCCAGAAATAAAAATTGGGATACAGAAAGCATCGTTTCCAGAAAGTAGAAATCATGTAAGCAACCTATGCACAAGCCAATATAGCAGCGCACATTCTCACTGCATCACACAAGATTCTAGTCACTCATTCCTCATTAATAAATCAGAGAAAATCTTAAAAACGTAACCTGTTACACACTACACCATTCACTAAACCTGTGCAAGTGCAGCGTTCCACTGAAGATACTTTTTAAGCCAGTAAGCAACACGATCTTGAGTTTCAACTCCAGAATTAAGAGAAAGAACACAAGAGGAGAAAAAAAAAATAAACCATGCACTTCAGAAATAAGTACTGGAGTCATTATCCTGGTTGGTGAGAAGGAGGAAGGGGGGAAGGGAGAAATCAATTTGCAGTGCTACAGAGAAATCTTTGGAGACACTTACGCTTCCCATTAGCAGGCTGCAACTATCACTAAAATTATTAGATGATGGCTGCTATAGGCAAGAAGATGAGACAGCAAAAAAAAAAAACCCACACACCACACAAATCTGGGGCAAGCTATAAATAAAAATGGAATAAATTATTCTTAAAACATAACCTTATCTATATACAGTTTTGTTTTAATAGGTTATAATCAGGCTCTAAATAATGTACAGTAGAAAATGCAGAGTAGACAGGCATCATCCACAAATGTGCCAAATACTATCAGCACCAAAAATTACTGACAGGCAAACAATTCTTTTGGAGACACATCTATGCCCCAACAAGTTTACAGTTTTATAAAGCAGAATTTATAACAAATCCACAGGAAACTTCTGCTATCCCACTTCTTTAATGTGGGACATTTAAATGTGTACCAGCAGTTTAGGTTTGAACGTTTTGCAATACTTAAAACACTAAGACTATAACCAGTACTACAGCTACATCTGGTAAAGAGCATGTCCCCCCTCCACCTCTTTGGCCCCCCAATTACCTTTATTATTTCCTTATCTTTATGCCTTCTACTGTGAGTAGCTACAAGGCAATCTAGATGCATTAATAAGTAGTTAATTGAGGAAGTTCACAAGAAGTAAAAGGTAGCGTTTAACATAACTGGAGATAACCATGAGATAATAGATGCCATTATAGACATAAATACTTAGTCAGTGCTACTATTTATAAACATATATAGCATTTGAGACAAACTATTAAGGCGACAATTAAAATCAAGAACACCAAAAAGGCATAACATCTTAAACAAGTTTAACAGATCAAAAAAATTAAGAGTAAATCTGCTCAACAAAAGCATGTTAAATGGGCAAAACCATTTTAATTGGTAAACACACACCCAAAAAGAACATTTTCTAATAGGAACAACTTTTTTGAATATTAAACTGTCTACAGTCCCAGACAATGTAAATAAGGCAGACACCACCTGCACTTTAGTACTTAATTTGATTGGAAGCCTTCTCCAGATTATCTGGGCAGTAACCATGGTGTCAGGTAGACAGGAGGTAAATTGCATTCTGTCTACTCAAGAGTCCTGGCAGAAAAATAACGGAGATAAAAAGGAAATTGGACTGGAGTTCTCTTCATCTTTGTCATAGCAACCAAGAGCTGATTTAACGAGCAACAGCCCTAGCTAACTGCAAACAAGGAGTTCTGTTTAGCTACACTCTAGCCAAAGATGCTAACGCAATGAGTGTCACTTCCCAGATGGACAAGAGGCCATGAAGGCTGAGCTGGGAGTTGGAAAGTACTTCATTTACTCATAAAACTGCTCAGTGATAGCGGTGTATACTAGAATTCGGAGGAACAAAAAAAAATTACTTACATGATGGGATAATGAACTGAGGTTCTGTATTTCCTGCATAGCCAAGTTTCGTATACCTAGAAAAAGAATGATCACAAGATCATTAGATGCACTTAAATGTAAAAAAAAAAGAAAAAAAAACCTTGCAATTCACTACACTTCTTAAAGTTAAGTCCAAACAATTGCATACCACATCTACATTTTCTGAGTTATGCTTTCACATGTCATCCTGCTGAGAAGAAAACTCAGAAGTCGTAAATATTTCAGGTGTTATTTATTTTTCAGACACCTTCAGCTTACAAATTTTGGTAGTGTTTTTTTTTCTGAACTATGAAATCTGAAAACTCAGCTCTTATTTTCTCCATCTTGTTGACCAATTATGACAAAATACAGGCAGGGCTTGTTCCACCCTCTGTTAAAAAAAAAAAAAAAAAAAGGGCTGTGCAGATCTTACCTTTCAGACAGCTACCATGACCAAAGGTGTCATTAGACTTTGCATATTTGTTTAATATTGTCAAATACAGAAGAAAAAAAACCAGCATCTTAACTACAAACCACAGTTCAGAAGTCTCCTTTACAATCTCCTTTCATGCCCTGCACAAATCACTCACATTGTCACAGGTAGAGTATCTGTGTTCAGTAATATAAACATACTACACTGAAATAAACATGCATCGATAAAAAGGTTTAGAAATGGGCAGTAGATTGTATGAAGCATTGTCTGTCTCTTTCAATATACACATAATATCTATTTCAAGAAGTAAAGCATCAAGATTAAAAAAAAACCCCACACAGGTAAATTGGGGAAGAAAAAAAAAAAGAAGGAATTTTCATGCAAAACCTAAAATCTCTGCATGGTGTAACTGGCTGCAAGCTAGCTTAGGTCTTTAGCAGCTAGAAATAATTAACACCCTAGACTATGAAAAACAGTTTTAACACTGGGGTGGGGGGACGACGCAAACAATTCAGAAGTAGTTTCCAAAAGAAGGAAATAAAACCAACAAAAGTTATTGAACAGTTGCAGAGATTGACGTCTTTCTCCAATATTGTCACTAGATCGGAATAGAAGTACAGCAATAGCAGGATTTGAAGGAAATTAGCATTATTCAGATCCATTTTACCATGAAAACCTAAAGCTACAACATCTTAAATAAGACCAATCACAATCTAGGTCCTAAAGTAAATTTAGGGTGCTTGTCTAGATCCTACTCTCAGTATTTGCAAACAGTATCATGCCATTGCTCAAGCAGAGGGTTGCTTCTTCATTAACAGCTTTAACAGTAAGTTCCCCTTTATGGAATATTTGGTATAAAAACACTCATTAAGAGTCAGTTTGCTTAGATAAAGGAATTAAAACTGAGTTAGAAATGACCTTGGAATTTAAATATTATATTTTCAACATCTCTTCAAAGCTATAGCTTCAAGAGGCTTCAAATAATCTTTATAAAAGCCATTTTCCCCAAGGCTGAAAAGACAAGGACTGTGTTTTCGGGGCAAGGGTTTGTTGCATTTTTAATCATCATTATGTGGGCATATGCTTTCAGTCTAATCCAAAATGTTTATGCATACTTTCTGTGACTCTCAAAAAATACACTCAGGACATTAAACTAGACTGATTTGTAAAGAAGGCCATTACTAGTAAATTCTTTTTTATTATTGTTGTTGCACAGTTTCTTCAAATTTTTGAATGAAGCCTACCTAGGGAATATTGTTAAAATATAACAAGTAACAGCAGGAGTTACGCTGGGATTTAAGACACATTACAGGATGCTTCCTCTTCGTTTCTCTCTGAAATGGGTTTTGCTCAAATGCACATAGTGAGGCCCAAGGAAACCAGTTTTGGATTCAAGAGACCTAGTTCTAAGACTTAAGAATGGCAATCGGGCAGAAACCTCATGAAAACACCCCTTCAAGCCCCTGTGACAAAAAATGAAGTCAATATATACATATACACATATATATATATCTATCTAAGCATGTAAATATGTATATATACTTTTTATATATGTGTGCATATATATAAAAAAAAATAAAAGGTTCCTGCAATATAACCAGAACTTACTTCTTAATTGAAACTCTGGCTGAGAGGTGAGTTCCGTTTGCCATCTTTCCCCCTCTACACACGTGCTAAATTCACACCCACTCACAGCACTAGAGAGAAAACACCCTCTAAAAATCAACTTGGGTCACCAGTCTGCAATAGATTTACCTTCCCTCCCAAGCAGGGACCAGATCCCCTTGCTAGAATAACTTACAAAGTTACCAAAAGCCTACAGCTCAAAGTTTTACAGATATTTTTTTTTTTTTCTCCACTAAGTGAATTAACCCCCGTTAAAACTACAGGACAAGCTTATTTCTCAGTGTCAGTGAAAAATAGCTATCTTCAAAGAACACATCTCACAGAAGATTACTTCTGGCAAGACCTCTTTTGCACGCCATAAATCCACGAAGGATTAATACTAGAGTTACGAGAATAACTATATTCTCAGTTCAGTGTTGAAGCAAGGGAGTGGAAAAAAACGCTGTTCAAAAAAAAAAATCTATTTATGATCAAACAAGAGAAAGACTTGAACAAGCGGCTGTATTTCAGGTGTTTTGACAAAAACAAATGGAAGGGAAACTCGAAGCTACTCTCAAAACCACTGAGGAAGAAAAGGAAAGGAGATGATAGGGCTGTGCTGCCCTTTCTTATCCAGTAGTGTATTTGCTCAGGCCATGGCAGACTTGGTCCCAGATTTTTCTTCTGCCCAGCAGGACCTGAAACATTCTGCCTTCCAGGGCCATACCCAAGAGTCCATTAAAGTGTTTGGGTGACCCACTTATAGGACCTCCTACAGAGATTGTTCCCTTTTATACAAGATATTTAAATATTCATTGACCTGAAAGGCTCTGGACTAAACAGTTAGAGAGGTTACCTGGTCTCCAGTCCCTTCCCCAATGAATATTTAAGCATCTAAAACATGGTTTTTCTTTCTCCTGGGTTACAGCCTAGCAGACTAATGGTAATGCAACATCTTGTGATCTGTAAATTACAGAGACAGCTGTAGGGAACATGTAGATAATCAGTATTCCAACTTAATTTCATTAAAAGTAGCAGATTTATTGCCAGTGAGATAGGAACCTACTGGAAACTCTCCAGAATATAGGATACTGGAGCCTGCAATAAAGATTAGCAGAAAAACAATCCAATAGAGTAAGGCTATTTTATGCAAGCGGATTTGAAGGAACTACTCATTAAAAAAAAAAAATCTGAAAATTATATACTGTTCAAACAAGCAATTTCTAAAAAAAGAGATAATATCCTAGTACATCCTGGTTTTCCCAGGTGATTAGTTAGTACACAAATCAGTTTCACTAGCTTTTGCTTGAGGAATGGTTAAATCCTAACCCCCCTTCTTTTCTGAGAGCCTACCATGAAAAAAATGGAAAAACTTAGGGAGAAAAATGACTGCAAAGATGTACAAATGGACTGAACTTAGAAGCTGATACTGCACCCTCAACCATTTTAAAGAGCAGGGATATATTTTGGAAAATTCTTACTAAAGCATGAGAAAATAATTTAGGCACATAAAAATCACAAACAGAGGCAATTGCCTTGTCCATCTCAAAATACAAGACATCCAATTATTTCTCTAGATGAATATGCAAAAGACAAAAGCCCAGCTGTCAACATTTTTCAATTTCCTCAATTTCTATTGTTTTTTTGTCCAGATCTTTAAAACAATGTGTTAAATCCACCCCCCAAAAAAAAAGCAGCTCTGGAGAGATAGACATGAAGTGATTGAAAACAGCAAAATGTTTTAAGGAAGTCCTGTAAACAAACAAAAAATAAACTCTGTAAAGAGAACACTTTCTGACAGCTAAGATGCTAAATAACTAACAGTTATTACTGCCAGAACACCTGTGATGTGATACTGCCATAAACAGACAGTATTATCCTTATTACAAACATGCCTGAGAAACTCACGACACAAGGTCTTCATGAAGACGTGGAAAGGCACTTCTGAAATGAAGGTGGATGTGATGAAGGGACGGGAATGAAGAAAGAAGGGATGAAGGAGGAAATATCAAACAAAAAAAGACCGATTATGTCAGCTCAATTTACCCAAGAGCACCAACAGCCACTATAAGAATAAAGTGTACATTAGAGCCATTGTTTTGGGTTTGTTTTTTTTTATTTTTTTGGAGAGTAGCACTTTACAGGACTGAAGCCTGTGATTATAAAGAACAGTTAATTAACCCAGGCTCCTTAGACCCAGAACAGCAATTACAATAATGCTGGTTCACAAGTCTCCTGTGTAAAGAGCAGAGGTAACACTTGGCTAAAGCAACTCGTTTAACAGCAGAAATATAGTAAGAAGGTTACAACGCAACATGTTCAGAGGTTCCAACTATCTTTAATAGCCCACCAACAACAAAAAACACCCTAAGCTTTAAGACAAGTCCGGCTCACTTCTCCCAGAAATCAAGTATTTACCTCTAAGCTCAGCAGTAAGACTTTGCCGAAGTAGTTTTTCTTTACTAAAAGAAAAATGGAGTGACTTCAAAATATACCCAAAATAGAAGTATTCCTCACTGTCTGCAAATACACACACTGAAGAGGAGAGAGGTATTTTAAGCTATCTTTGTTTCACACACCCACCTACTAGCATTCTGATGTCCCACAGCTAAATAACAGTTAATAAAACTAGTTAGGAAGTTTAAAGCTACTTAAAACAGCAACACCAAAGAGGCCTGGCAGTCCTAACAAACTAAAAATAGCATGCCCTTCTCCACAAAAAGACCGATAGCAATGTGTCAACTGATCACGAGGAAAACCTCATGCAAATGAAAATGAAGATGTAGTGCATGAAAATTGAAGTAGGACAAGTCACTTGCAAATACTAATGGAAAAGATGATAGCAAATTATTGCTTTCTGCAAAATTTGTGAATAAAGAGTGAACCGCTTATGACAAAGAAAGTTCAAGTCATCTATCCAATAGAGAAAAAGAATGTTATCCTGTCCTGCTCTGACCGTGTGCTTCTCACTAGAGGTCTGTGCCTATTGTCTATACACCTGTTGCCTTTTTTTTTTTTTTGAGAAATTCCAGCGTTTTACATGACCAAGGCCTATGGCTGCAAACAACAGTAAATTAAACCAGGCTCCTTACCCACAAAACAACAACAGCAGCAAAGAGAGTCTTTTCACAAACTTCTTAAATCCCCTTAACACAAAAAGAAGAGGGATTAGTGCCTGGACAAAGCACTCATTCAGTACCAGAGATGTAAGTGGAAAAGTGTATTTTAGATATCTAATGTTCCACTGTGCATGTCTGCATATACCTTTTTCTTTCCACTGTGCTCTTCCAAGTTTTTAATCTGAAAGCCCTTTCATGAATAATTTGAATGAATTGTTTGAAGCTTGTAACCCAAAGTAGATTCATTCTAACAATAAAAAGGTTTTCAGCCCACACAGACGAAAATTCCAGAGACTGTGTATCAATGAGTCAAGCTACTTCTTCTGGTTGCTTTGTTTCAGACTCTTATTTTTTCTTGAATTCTTTAAGATAACTTATTTCAAATTCAATAATCTCATTGCTGAAAAGTCTTCCACATTTGAGTGCCCTGCAACAAAGTCGAGCAGAAGTCCCATCAGCAGAGACATCATATTGTCTCATATGAATTAAGATCATTTGGAGGCATGGAAATGCAAAGTCGCATCATCTGGGGACTATCTGAATCCTTCCTGATACACACACACAAACTCCAACAGTTTTACCCATGCAAGCACTAAACAGATTCAGAGAAATAATAGTTTAAGTAGAATTTCTAAAAGGGACACAATAAACCGTTTTCTATCCTTATTTTGTACGACTGTTGGTCAGCAGTATCTACTGCTACTGCAACACTGGAATCGCTCCACAAACTGTGAGCGAAGGAGATCTCCTGCAAAAGACAGACATTGCATTTAACACATTTTCTGGATTTTGTAGTTTATACTGTAAGCTTTTTAAAGGATCCATCTAGAGCTCCCATTTCTCTCCTTGAAAAACTCTTCAAAACTGTGAAGTAATATTCCCGTAACACCAACAGTTCTGTGGAGAACAGATATTTAAAATATCTTGAGCAAATAAATAGAAGGAACCTGGGAAACTACCAAGGAGTATCTAATGCACAGGCAGAATTACATGCAAGATGGAACCTGGTCTTTATTCTACTCCCAGAGCTTTCACCTGTGGACACCAGTACTCCCCATTGAGGGAACAGAGCTGACTTCTGGTAAGGTAAGGTATAAACAGAAACAGGACAAGAGACTTCTGAAAGTTTCTTGACGGTTTAATACAGACTTATTTCAAAATATAAAACACTTTTTCAGAAAAAAGCAGTGGCAGTGTGCCACCACATCACCGGGATGTGCTTCCTCTGGTCATCTAGGGGGTTGGGGTTTGTTTGGTTTGGTTTTGGGTTTGTTTTTTCCAAGATAGCTCAGTTTTGGAAATTTTAAAGGTAACTTTCCAAGCACTAAAGAAATGAAAACAGTGCTGCAAATTCCCTGCAGAGTAAAGGTCTATTATTGCAATAAATTAATGCAATCAGTGACACTGAGGCAGAGCCTGACAAGTAAAGTTACTCGTGGACTGATGTCTTCTCTCCTCAGAGCTGTCTATAACTGTCAGGCCAAAGATATTAGGAAAAGCACACCGCATATTCAGTATCACCTTCATTACAGCTCCCTCTGGCACCTCCCACTCCTGAGGCACCACAGAACTGGTCTATCAGTTGACGAATGGGTCTTCTCTAGCCACAGACCGGTAGGAAAGACCTGTTCCTGAAATGCCTCCCAAGCACAGCCTCTGTAATTTTAGTCTTCTTCAAAGACTTGAGCTACAAAACTTGTGATTTGGCTAAATGCAGAATAAGTCTCACACAGATTTGACAAAGGTGAAGAAGGAATGACCTAATGACCGAGAAATACCACTAGTATAAGACAGCCAGCTCTCACCTCATTGCTGGCCAGAGGTAATACCTGGAAAGGTTCAAGAAGACGTACAAGGTGTCCAGAGGCACAGCCAGATGTAACCCAGCCGCAGTCCCGGAGCTGCGTGTGCACGAAGGGGATGCTGCA